ACAGCCTGAAATTCACAGAATTGAGAGTGGTCAGGGGACAGTGGCTACCGCCATCTTTTGGCCCTAATAATTCCAGAGTTCTCTCTGCTTGGAAAAACTGGTTTGGGAGTATTCAAATACAGCTCTGGGAAGGTTTGACTCTTTCCATGAAACTGGTCCTCTTCCCCTCCTTCTTAGGCAGGACACAAAGAGAGGTGGCCATTTTTATGGACCTGGAATCTAACTTTTTTTGCATAAGGAAGTAAATGGCTTTGTGTGCATGGAAATTTCCCCTCCCCTGCAGGGGAGAAAGTCGGCCAGGGCTCCAAGGATTCAGAAACCATGCAAATGATGAAGATGCTGGCCCCAGCAGCTGTGACCTTGGACCTGATGGAGGGCAAGGGGGTAGTAGAATTGTCAAGAAGGGGATGCTTTCTTCTGACTCTAGTTTCTCTGCTCCATCCATCAATGAACATTCATTTATTAAGGGCCAGCTCTATATTACTTGATGTGGAGTCTTGGTTTCCTCATCTGTAAAATGGGCATATTAATACTTGCACTAGCTACCTCCTAGGGTTTTTGGAAAGAAGACTTTGTGTTCATTGTAAAGCCTATAGATACGTTTTGATTTTTATCGATCCTTGCCCACACCCATTCAATACTGAATGAAAGCAAAAGCATTATTCCACACTTGGTCAGTCACTGACTGTGTCAGTCACTGTGATCCAGGCACAGTGTTGGAGATACAAAGACAAACAGTTCCTGCCTTCAAAAAGCTTATATTCTACCGAGGGATCGAGCACATAAACATATAAGAAAAACTAATATAATTTGAGGAGTGAGAAAATACTAACAAGGTCAAGAGAGATCAGGAAGAGGTGGAGCTGGACCCTGGGCCGAGCCCAGAGGTCAGCTCAGGCCCCTAAGAGGCAGAGAGGGCATCCCAAGCAAGCTGGACAGTCTGTGCACAGCCCCCTCAACAACACAACAAGGCGTCTTCCATTCTCCCCTTGAATACCTCGAATAATGAGAAACTTGCTTCTTCCCTTCACTGGATTTCTTCCCTTCTCCTTCTCCCTCCCCTAAGTCCATTTCCATTCCATTTTTTGGATAGCTCTGAGGCTTAGGAAGTTCTTAAAAAAACTGGGTGAGACATCAAGAGGCAAAAGAGGAAAGGAAGAAGGAAATTTCAGACATAAAGAAAGGCATGAGCAAAGGTCAGAGAGCTGGAGAGCCCTAGGTGGGAATAGGAGCCAGAGGCATAGAGTCTAAAGCTTGGAATTGAGAAGACCTGGGTTCAAATCTACTTCTGATACTTACTAGCTGTGGAATCTTGGGAAAATCTGTTCATTTGTCTGAGCCTCCATTTCCTCATCTGTAAAAGGAAAGGTCAGCTCTCAACCTAGGATCCCATGAAGAGTCTGGTTTGGCCGGGGCAGAGAGTATACAGAGGAGAGAAATGTGATAAGGCTGGAAAGTAGGGTGGAACCAGGCTGCTGAAGGCCTTTACTGCCAATCCAAAGAGTTTGAATTGGTTCCATAGATAGGTGGGAGCCAGTGAACAGTTTGGAGTGAAATAGGCAAACCTAGGGATGAGGGAATTTAGTCTGCAAGGAGCATGGAGGACGTTTTGGGGGTGGTTGTGAAGTACGGCTCATGGATTTGATGATGGAAAGGACCTCAGGCCAGCTCTTCATTTTGCAGACAAGGAAACCGAGGCCCAGAGAGCCTTGCTCAAAGTCACACAGGAAAGTAGTTGGGTGGGATTTAAACCCCTATTGTGTAACTCCAAATCCATTCTCTTTTCCCAGGAACACACAATAGCCAGACCACTTTCTTCTCTCTTTGATCCTTAACAGGAAGAGGCTTTCCTCTCTCCATTCCTGTGATATATTTGAGGGAATTGGGGCAGCAAGTGGTGGTGGGAATTACGTGAACCACATTGACTCCATCTTGTGATTCAATTCTGGAGCTAGCCCTTTCTATTCAATTATGAGTCTAGTCCAATTTGTCTTGTGAGAAAATTTTATTCAATTGTGGGAATTGAGAGAAAACTTTATTATATTGTTGGAACCTAGCCCTGTGGCTAGGTGGCTGGGAAGCTGTACCATCTCTGCCCACTGCTTAGAGACCCTTAACTAAGAACCTAGGTTATACTGACCAGAGACCTGGTCAGATCTGAAAAATGATGCAAGTTTTCTCACTATACATCTCAAGCAACCCATATCTTATCTGAAAACTGGCCCCACACTGCTCAGTTATTGTTGCCGAATTCCTTTGATTATTCATGGACACTTGAGGGAGTGGGACAGCTCTTTTTCTGATTTCAGGGAATTGTACCTGATCACTCTACCCCTCCCAACTTGGAAACTCCCTACTCTTCCCTCCAATTAGAATTCAGATTACCTTCCGCTGTATTCAAGTTAATTGTTTCCTTTTAATTAATTGGCCTCACTTGAGTAATTGTTTTTAACTATAAAAGTCTGTCTCTCCCTGCATTTTGGGTCCAATGCCAAAGACAAAGAAGAGGCTTGGTCCCAATTTGTTGAGGGTTTGGCATGCATTGCTTAATCAACCAAGATGCTTAGAAGCTCAAATTTTTCTTTCCTCAATCATTTCATCTTGTATGTGGGGCAGTAAAAAGAACCCTAGGTTTAGAATTGGGAGGTCCAGAGCAATCCTGGCTCTGCTACTAACTTGCCACAAGACTCTGGGCTAGTCCTTTCCCCTTTCTTGTCCTCACTTCCCTCAGTTTTGAAACTATCTGGACTTAATTAAGGTATAACATGTTTCACAATTATAGAACTCAGAGCTCAAGAGCCTGTGGAGATCTAGACCAGGCCTCCAGGGACTCCAGTCGAGACAAGCGACCTTTCCCTCTATATGAGATGGCCTTTAATACCTGTCTTTACCCACCGATCCTATACTGGACCCAGGTCTCCAGTCTGGGCTTTCTGTGTCCTTGAAATGTTTTCCTTGTGAATAGAACGGCGCTGGGGGGGCATTCTGTTATTTGCTTTCAAATTTGATAGGAAAATATCTTCTACCCTAGTGGAAAACAGTGTCACACAATAACCAGAACAGAAGATGGCTCACCTGAAGATTTCAGAGAGGGCGGGTTCAGGCAGCCTTTATCAGATGCTGAATGAGAAAGCAGGGCAGCCCATATAGAGTTACCTGATTCAAATCAAATTAGATTACAAGATTTTGGAGTTGGAAAAATACAGTCTAATTCAACCTCCTCATTTTTTTTTTGAGGCACTTGGGGTGAAGTGACTTGCCCAGGGTCACACAGCTAGTAAGTATCTGAGGCCACGTTTGAACACAGGTCCTCCTGTCCCTAGGGCCAGTGCTCTATCCACTGTACCACCTAGCTCCGACTGTCCTCATTTTCCAGAAGAAAACCATATGATCACCAATTTAAAACCGCAAGGATCCTTGTAGGCTGTATATTGACTTGGAAAACCACATGTTAACTTCATCTATGTTCTATTGTATTTTTATTTATTCAGTTAAA